AAAAAAAAAAAAAGATGGCCTCTAATTAAAAAAAAAAAAAAAGATGGCCTCTAATGTTAGCCACCACTACCCCACCACCACCAAACTGAATTATTTCTGCTCCGGGTGACTAGTACAATATGGCAAAAGTGACAGTGTGTGACTTCTAAGACTAGGTCATAAAAAGCATTCCGGTTTCTCTCGGTTCATTCACTCTGGGGGGAAGCCAAGTATCATACAGTAGGGGACCAGAATGCACCACCTCAAAACATGTCTCCTTGGCTTCAAGATTATTTTGAGAAACAGTAAACACAGGAGAAGCTCTGGAAACAGAGTAGAAGTTATCCTTTGGTAAGGCAAATTTATATTTATAAAGAAAATCTCCATCTGTAAAGATGTCTCCCTATTTGTACCAGGAAGAAGATCACTCTAAATCACAAAAGACTCTTATCAATGGAGAAGACACTTAAATCTACGTAATAAACCTTACACTTATTTACTGCGCTTTCCTATTCATCTTCCCATAACTGGCCTCCCCCAAACCCTTCTTCTGTTTTAGCTAAAGATGGTATTTAAACTCCAATTCTAGCCACCTCTTTGAATTACTCAACCCCAAATATTTCCCATGTATATACAAGATATACATGTTAATAAACTTCTGTTTATCTCTTGTTAATCTTCTTTTGTTACAGGGGTCCGAGCCTAGAACCTAGAAGGGTAGAAGGAAAAAAGATTTTTTCCTCCTCTACAATTCCAGGAGGAAACTCAAGCGGGACGAGGACCATGGGGAAAGGAACTGAAATGCCTAGCCAAGAGCTATATGAGTAAACCACCTTGGAAGTGGATCTTCCAGCCCCTGTTAAGTCTTCGGGTAACGGAGCCACACCTGACCTCTGACTACAATATCGTGAGATACTCCTAAATTTTTGACCCACAAAGCAATGAGAAATAATAAATGATTATTACTATTTTAACTGCCACGACATTTTGGAGTGGTTTGCCATAGATGACAAATACAGCAAGATGGGAAATGTACATCAGCAGGGGGAAGGACCCAAACATGACAGATAGCACGTCTTTGATGTGACTAACGACAGGGCCCAGACTGCACAGGAAAGCGAATGATGCTTTGAAGGAAGGTCATGATTTTAATGGGGATGTTTAAAATGAAGTCAACATGTTCTGAGATATTCTGGCATCCCTAAGAAAGGAACTGAAATGACATAACTTCCTGTGGTTAGAAAAGTGTGGTTATAATAATAGTCATTCATTCGAAAAAAATTTTA